CCACAAATGTGGGCAACTGCAACTGGAAAAAGACTGGACCGTAGTTCAGTCCAGTTCGGTCCTATGTATATTTTCAGTCCTGTAGACTGGACCTGCAAACACTATGCATGTGAGTTGTTGATGGATGTGGCAAAGTTCAGAATGGAGGAAGGGAATGGACTACTTCAATCATTCAGTCGACTTTGCATGGGATATTCTATGGGGGTTGGGTGGGTGATATGGGAGAGTAGGCAGAGCAGGAGTAGCAGGCAGTTTAATGTCTCATTCAAGTATTGCCGATGAGGATGAGAGTCTGTGGTAATCGTGTCAAGTTTGGATTAGAGGGAAGGAGAAAGATATACACACTGACGGCTACACATCACCTTGTTGTGTCTTCAACAGAGCAGCTGCAGGTGTGACATGAATGAGCTAGCGGAAGCCTGGGGAAAGAAATGAGAGGGCCAAATGGTCAAGGACTTGGACGTACCTCAATCTGAATTCCTCTGAATCCGCTGATACACTTTGCACAGGGATGAACGTGAAAGTGCGAAACACGCAAACAAGGATCAAGCGCGTCGGGGGAAAACCCTAAACACCAAACACACACACACACACACACACACACACACACTATCACAATCTCGGTGCAAGAGTTCGAGGGCCTTTGGTATTAAGAAATACCACTTTTGTTTTCTTAGGTTTAAGTCTCAAGAGTTTTCGTAATAAAACCGGGTTTTATTATTGGGTGTGGTATTAGAATAGTTCAATAGAACAAAGTATGTCTTTCAGGGATTCTGGTTACTCAAATGCAAAGTTCTCGCACACAGACTTCTTTATTGACACGAAACACGAATTTATCGGACTTTTATAACTCCCTTGAGTTTTTATTATGTCACTACGCTCCAAAACAAAGGGTACGAGTACGCTGTCTCGTCTGAATGATACTGTGCTTAAAAACCTCTTATTCAAGTCTCCAAGTAAGCTGACTCCCAAGCACGCTGGCTTCGTTCACACTGTACTTTTCTGACCACGAAGAAATCTCCTTTAATTGATTACAACTGTCCACCTCCTAAGTCTCTACTTGGAGTGCAACTAGCTGGTCAACGGGGGACGATTGCTTGCCTTTTTGACCTGCCAGTGCCCTCCTTTTATACTCCAAAACTCCTATCTACGCTTTTACATGTGTTTTTCTACAGTTTATATCAGTCCGAAATTACAAATGGAATATAAATAGCTTTTAATAATCATGTGGTATAGTTTTATAGTGTCTTTCTTTGATACACTACAGTTTTTGTAGTGTTGGTATCTTTCTCTTATGAACACATCAGTATTTGATGTGTACATTTAATAGTCCGGCTTTTAATTATCCTTGGCGCGGACCGGTTCCTTATGCTTCTTTTCTCTTGGCATCAGTTACCAATTTGACGTATCATGTCATTTTAGCAATGGCCAGGCCGATACATATGCAGCAAGCTGCCGGCTTCTTTATTTCCGGAGGTTATTTGATCAAAATGCCTCGGCTCGGTTTCCGTATCATATGGAGATCGGATGGTACTCCGAAGGACTTCAAATGACTTTCTTAGTTATCAGGGGGTCTCCAGATTGGATTACCTAATGTCTTTCCAGGTGCGCATTTCATAGCGTCTTGGACGATGCTACACATCACTCTCTGATGCGTACGCGGGAATTGCCGTACTTGACACTTTACATGGCCGCAGGCCACGCTTGGTCCTCATACATACACTACATAGTCACAGTATAGTCTTTCTAGTAGTAGAACATTATTTCACAATGTCCACATACAGTTTATCCTCTAGAAGTCTTGGAAGTATTTATCGCAGGATAAAAGTCCGAGTTTCCATATTAAAAATCCATTACATGTTTCTAAACCCTTGGTAGTAATGCAATCTTGTCCCTGCGTTGGGTGGTTTACTCTAGAGCTTCTCTATACTCTATTTCATAGTGGGTGAATCCTAGATAGGCTCCAAGTATAATGTCACGGCACATACTGCTGCCAGCTCCAAGGCCTTAGTCCTATGTTCAGACTCGACGCATGTGCACTTTTAGTCTACTGAACTGGGTATGTTCAAAGACTCTTATATCATTGCAATTTGTATATAGTGTATGTACAGAGAAGACCATGTTAACGGTAAAATCGCGAAAATCGGATTTTATATGGCTGAATACTTTTCACCCGTATCACTGCCAAGTCTAACTTACAACCTGTGAACATGTAAAATTCCCATGAGGTGCACACTGATGACAATACACAGTGAAAAACATACCAAATGGTGCAGTACTTTACAGTGCCCCTCCCATTCCTGCAGGATTCCGGTCATTCCTGCGGATTCCGGTGGATTCCGGAGGAATGGGACCGGAATCCGCCGGAATCCACAGGAATCCACAGGAATCCGCAGGAATGGGACCGGAATCCGCAGGAATGGGACCGGAATCCGCAGGAATGGGACTGGAATAGAAGTAAAATCACAGATACAACATACATTTACACCAATACACACTTCTGCATACTTCTCTTAGTACTTTTTAAGCTGATCAGACCTTGGACAAAGTAAGGAGATATTATGTGACTGAATCTAACTCAGGCCTTCTGCTGACAACTTAATCTTAGGATTCCTTAGGAGATTTATACTTAAAGAGGGAAGATTCATTTCAACTCATTTATTAAAAATACATGATGGAATTTATCTACATTGAATCTAGATAGAGGGAGGGGGAGGAGTGGAGGCA